TAAAATATTTAATATTAATACAATAAAATATAATATAATTGTTCCGGAATAATCGTTGATTTAAATGTATTCTCGGCAACGGTGAATAAACCGACGCTTATAGAGCCGTCATCATTCAAAACATGCGTGTATCTCGTTCTAATCACGCTATTTATTTTAAATGAGCGCGAAAAGGTGACGATCGCGCATTCTGCGTGCGAGAAATTATAGTTCGCTTCCCGATACGGACCATTTATTCGTTGTAACGCTTCTTATCCCGAAGCTGAAGTGCGAACCACCTTGACGTTCTGTCGCGTATTACCGCTGCATTTTGTTACCTAACGTTCTCGGTAAACGCACACCGCGAGGGCAGGCAGTAGTGTGCGCGAATTGTCTAAATTTCCGACGAGATTTGCCGGCCTCGCTATCATAAGGTGAATTTGCCGATCGTAATCATGAATTCGGATCCGATCGACATCATAATCGGTGCCGATCTCTTTGGCATGCTTGTTCTCGACGGTATTCGAAAAGGTTTCAAACATGAGCTTACTGCAAATATGACACTCGGCTGAATTCTTTCCGGATAGCCTCGTTTCCGACTACTGAATCAATTTCCGCGCTTGCGCATCACGGAGTTGTTCTTGAAACTCTCAATCGCGATCTTCGTCGCTTTTGGGAGATTGAGGAAGTGCCTCAAAAAGCGCCTCGAAGCTCTGCGGAGCATTAGTGCAAAGAGCACTTCAGAACTACGCATTCCCGTATACCGGACGGATGGTATATCGTATTCGATTACCGTTTAAAAACGGACCACTTATCTCGATAGGCGAATCGCGCTATTGCTGTTTCGAGCTTTCGCCGCTTGGAACAATGCTTAATTTGAGATCCAATTATCGCTTCCGAATACCGCGAATTTCTCGCAGAGTATGAAACACTCGGTCATATGATCAAAAGTCCACCGACAGAAATTGTCAAATCAGAACAAACTTATTACATTTCGCATCACGTCTTACGTGCGACAGCAGTGCAACCATCCGCTTACGAATGGTTTTCAACGCTTCACGCCGCACAAAGGGGACATCATTGAACGATCACATACTCGTTGGCCCTAAACTCCAAAGGGATTTAGCTATTGTCTTAATGCAGTGACGCTGTTACGTGTTTAATCGCCGATATCGCCAAAATGTATTGGCAAATCTTAATTGACTCCCGAGACACACCGACTACCAGCGCATTGTGTGGCAACCTACCTCTGGCGGACCAATCACCGATTACCGCCTTCTTACTGTTACTTACGGCACAGCCGCCGCTCCCTACTTAGCCCTTTGGATCTTAGAACAACTCATAGATGATGAAGATGCTGAATTTCCGCTCGCGGTTCTCGTTTTACGTCATCAGATTGTGATTGGGAATTTCTTACTCTTACTTCTTACTCTGTATTGTAGACGACGCATAATTCTATTCGAAACGAATCTCAAACGTGCACAGTGTACATATTTTGAACAAGGCTCCTATTCTTGAAAAATATCGCATACAAAAAACTAAGAAATGCTAATATATGTTACAAATACTATATGTCTCTAGCTTTTCATACGAGATATTTTTTAAGAATAGAGACCTTGTTCCAATTGAATCGTGCACAATGTTACACTTTGTGCATTCCTATATACGTTTAGGTTAAAATATGTTAAGCAATTGGAAAGTACTCATAGTGTGTGCATGAGTAAATATACAGCAGTCACTATGTTGAAAACATAAATTCATTGCTTTTAAAATATAAATTCACTACTTTAGCAGAAAATTTATGTTTTTAAACTCAGACAGCCATCTACGTTCTGACAACGTTAGAATAATATCGCAAACATATGTTGAATACGTTGTTAAGATATTCGAGACGCGTCTGTGATATGTGGAGAATTTCTTTAAAATCTATTATGGCTGTGGAAATATCACTCGTTGGTGTGGTGGCTTCAGTGGAGAAATAGTGGGATTATCGTGTGCCTTTGGGTGGTGAGTGTTCTCGAACGATTTCCTGTGTGTAATCTCAATTCTACAGAAGTCTTGGTAGAGTGCAGACGTGTCTGTCTTTCCCATCTCAGTGTTGTGTCGCTCGAGTGTATCGCGCGAGTTTATAACTTGTGTAATTTTGTCCATCCGCCCTTTCGAGGATCCCGTCTTTAACTTATTATTTTCATTGTTAGCAGGGCAAATAGCACATATAAGTGAATAATCCGAGGCACTATGGCCTCGTTCCCCGGAAAGGAGGATGGAGATAATGGCGATGCTTCCAGCACGTCTTTTTCTCTTAATCCCCGATTCTTATTTTAGAACCTCCTTCTCCCTCTGAATCCAGTACAATTTCATCTCCCATCTCCCCGTATAGTGACCAAGTCTCACAAAAATTACTGCTGAAAAATATGTATGAGGAAGCGGTTTCGTGATGAACTTTCATTTAAACAAAGACGCATCTAGTGTAACGGTTGCGTCAGAAAGTGCTGACAGGGAACAAACCTCGAAAACTTTAAAAATTTAACACAGTTGCCCACGTGACCCTTAAGAATAAATTCAGCTCCAATGGATATTGATGAGGCAATAGAGGCAGGCTAAAAAGCGGCCGCTGCGAAATTCTACAGAGGAGGGCTCTATTTAAAGCGTGCAAGAATTTCCCGCCAAGAAGTGTGCAAACGTAAGCAATTCCAGCACGACGTCACACAGGCAAGTTCTAATATAGACGACAATACAAATCAGTCAGAATACGAGTAGAATTACGTCGCGCTATGGCCCGTATGTAGTGTATGTCTATTCTAATAGCCGAGATAACGCTATACATCCCACACTTATGAGCAGAATAATAGTTAAAGTCGATATTCCCGATATTCTCGAAATTAAGAAAATTGGTAATGGAAAAATAGTAGCAGTTAAAACTGCCACGAGGGCCAACCGTGAAGAATTCTACTTTCGCTAAGTTTCGCTAAGCTCAATCTAAGAGCCTTCATCCCAGCTTTCAAGGTTTTTAGGTCCAGGATAATACAGGATGTCTCCTAGCAATTTGAGTTAGACACAAGGAGGCTCTGGAATCATTAAAGGTCAAAAAATAGACATCCAGAGGTTGAATCGAAGGAGTGTTAAAGGTGACCAAATCGAATACGTTTCGTCCAGAAGTTCGTATTAAATTTGCAGGATAAATATTACCGCAAGAAGCGGTATATTATCTTTAAGATTAGGCACGAAGTTCGTCCATATATCCCCATGCCAAGGATATGTCATCTCTGTTATAGGGTGGGCCATGTAAGCGGCTTATGCAAAAGTACTCCCAGATGTTTAAACTGCAGCGAAAGTAGCGATACAGATAATCCGTACCGCATGCAAGAAGAAGTCTCCAAGTGCATCAATTCAATCAAGGCGAAACATTGGACCAACGATCGTACTTGTTATTGTCAAATAACATATCGTTAGCATAGCAGTTGTTGAAAATATCTCCATCGCCAAAAATGATGTAGAGAATGGATCCTCTCGATCTTGCTGAAAAATAACAGCAATTTTCCTGCTCTTCCTCGCAACAGAGAAAGAACATTTGAAAACTCTAATAGGTTTGATCTTTTAGGTGCTGAGGAGTTAGAGGGCGAATCTCAAACTTATGCTGAGATATTAAAACCTCATTCTTGTCTGCAATCATCGAGAAATAAAAACGCTTTCTCGAAAGGAGGAGTGACATCGCGTCTCGATAAAAAGACTCAGCCCAACATGACTCAGTATGCGTACGATACAAGAGCGCATCTCCAAGCTCTCAACGAAAACAATGGCAGAATCCTCTACTCATCTAGTAACGGCATTCCAAAATAAAGCCTCCACACAACCGGAATCTCACAATGCAAGCAGACAATAGTGCTTGCCCGGGAATTACAGATTTAATTCTCATAGCCACAAAAATCTTCACTCACTTCCAAAATAATAATCTATCCAGTCTATCATTAAACTAATATAAAATGGGTAGTTATTTTTCTAAATTAACTATAATCTTCGCCCGCTCCTCACTCTGGTGGAGTGGAAGGAGATTCTCTTAGAAATCCTCATAATGGTTTGAATTTCAATTATACACAGCAGCAGTATAATGACATACTTAATTTTGTCCATGAATTTGAATATGATAACAGATTTCGGAAATAATTTAGATATATCACAGGAAC